TATGATAAACAGCCATTCACTGATTGTGAAAACTCCTGTAGAATGTTAAATGTATTTTCAGGCCATAATTTAACAAAAAATTTAATGCTGTTTCAATCAAGTGAAGTGAAATGCCTGAAAACCTAGTGTAAACATCTACAGACAACTTATTTAAGTACAATGAAAGTGAGACTATTAAAAACCATATTAAAATGCTGTATTTTTTTTTAGTAATAATTGTGACAAAGATTAAAAATATTAATTTTAATAGAACTGTAGTAATGTAAAGAAAACATAAAAGCACACAAATGTCAATGTGATTAAGTAGCTAAAGTGAGCTGTAACATGTATTGTAGAAATTTTGTACATCTCTTGGGTCTGATTTTACCACTTCAGCAATATTTGTCTAATGTAATCCTTCATTTCACTCCCCTTTTGAATAACTATTCCAGAAAAACATTTATAGAAGTTCTTGTTAATTCCCAAGAAATACTTTTAACTGAAAAGCTCTTCTTTCCAACTGGATTCCTGAACTATTTTATATAAAGACTGATATATCCTTTTGCTCTTCATTCCTAGAATAAATAAAGAAATATTACATATATCATACATGTATATAAAAAAACTATTTATATATTCAAATTAATTTTTGGCATTTATGCACGTACATGTACTTAGAACAGCTACAATATTATTCCATGCAATACAGGACTTCACGGTTAATGACCCTATATTGAATAGGGGGCAGATTTTCATACTGGAGGTGAAAATGGTATGAAAAATACTAAAAAACATCATTGAAACAGAACAGCCACTTGGAAACATGCATAGGGTTTTCCACATTTTCATACCATTTTCCAGAAAATCTGCCCCCTATCCAATATGGCATCATTAGTTAACGAAGTTCTGTATTGTCAACTTATATTATTTTGTTAAGATTTTTTTCAAAGACTAAAGACACTTTTAAGACAGACTATTAAATTTAAATGTTTCTTTGAAGTAATAATATGTAAAGCCAAACTTGTCTAGACTAAGTGGCCGTAATGAGTCACAGCTATTTATTTTACAGGGGGGCCAGGGGCGTGGCAACGTTTACTGCAGGCACATTCGCCATACCAATTATTTTTTAAACACCTCATTGCCATACCAATTATTCTTATGATATGGCACAAACCCTTCTAGAAAGGACATTTTGCCGTACAAATATTAAATACTTTCCCTGCTAAGCCTCTGAATAATCCCTTTTGAACTCTGTGTCCCGACGGCCAAGTCAGAAAATACTTTAATAGCTCCCGACACATTTAGAGGGGGTTACGCCTCTGATTATCAGAGTGAACTCCATTTCAGAGATACTTATTGCTATTATAATCATTTCCAATTATCTATGTCTATGTCTACGTAGTGTACTGTACATAAATGTCATTTTTTTATGTGGCCAGTGTGGGGAAAAAGGACCCCCCCTTTTTTACCCAAATACATAAACAAAACAAAACCGTAATCGTATTTAAAGGATCCGGTAAGTCTTAGAACACATTAACCGAAATGATTAAAGGAATCAAGTGCAACAGACTCAAATATAAGTGAATATATCACATGCATGTTTGCGCGGTTTCTGCAAATTCAGTGAAAATCAGTTCAATGGAAATGCTGACAAACGTCATCAACATTTTGGTGATATGATACATACAAGAATAAAATATTAATAACTTAACTTACCTCAAACTTGCTGTCACTCGTCTTGCATCTATAAAGTAAATATTAATCGACCTTCGGCGTCTTTCAAATTTCAGTGCAACCTTGTGGAAATGTTACAATTACTCTAAAAGAAACACGAATCCGGATACGGTCTGATATTCCGGGAGTTCTCGTTTTTACATGTTTCGGTTCCAATTAAAATTAATGTTTACATTGTTTATAATAATGTACAGACGAGAAGCAAAATACTTTTCTTTAAATACAAAATATTAATTGGCACAAAGTTATTAATTACAACAATGAATGGTTCCATTTAAAAGTCAGTCCTGTACAGTAGTATTGCATATAATAATATTTAAACAGACATATATTTATAATGAAAAGTTTATAGGATATTTAGAAAAATGTGAGTGGAAATAATTAGACCATATTACAATAATCACATGGGATGTTTTAAATCTGAATTAGGATAAGAAAATATTGACATGAAAAAATATCACGGCCTTTTCACTGGTTTCAACAACCAGTGAAAAGGCCGTGATATTTTTTATTAAGCATGAAAGGACAAATTATCACGGCCTTTTCACGGGATATTGAAATTTCACGGTCTTTTTCTAACATCAAATATTTTTCACGGCCTTTAGAAATATTTTTTTTACAAAAGTCACGGGATATTTTCACGGGGTTTTCACGGCCCTGTGACATTTCACAGACATTTCACGGCCTTTTCATGGGCTGTTGTTACAGTAGCGGTATCAATCAGAGACTGTTACAGTCATAATTTTAAATATGTAGATAAAATGCCTTTAAAAAACTTTCATCAAGTTTGGTTGGATCAATCCAGCATAACAAGAAGTCAAGAGTACATCAAATAATGATAATCAGAGGTTGTAATCAGTATGTTTTAATCACTTTGTATTCTAAATTACATCTGCTCTTTATTGTTTGTTCTAGGTTTTTCTTATGTTCAAACTATTTGGTCTCGAGTATGAATAATCGGTAATTGTCGAAATTGTACCATTTAACGTCTTTTTTTTTTATCTATCTGACAAGTTTTTGGCCGACAAAGTCTGATCAACAATCAAGTCATGTGGATTAATGTCCAAAGCAACTTATTGACATCATACTGGGACATATTTTTCCATGCTTATTTGTTTTCTAACATGATAAAATGGAATAAAATCTCATTTTGCATTTTTGCTAATTTTCAATCTTTATCAATGTCAAGATTTAGAAAGAGATGGAAGAGATCCGTATTACGAACACATCTCAGGAAAAAAATGTAAATTTGTTAAGCATTTGATTTTAAACTTATCTTTATTATTATGAGGCTGACTTCATACAGGAACTTCTTAGAAAGAAAGATAAGAAGTTAGCAATATCCTTTAACTTTACGTTCCGCTATATAGATGATGTTCTCTCACTAAATAATACAAAATTTGGTGACTATGTTGAACGAATCTATCCCATCGAACTAGAGATAAAGGATACTACAGATACAGTTAAACTGCCTCATATCTTGACTTACATCTAGAAATTGACAATGAGGGTCGGTTGAAAACAAAACTTTACAACAAAAGAGATGATTTCAGCTTCCCAATTGTGAACTTTCCATTTCTATGTAGCAACATTCCAGCAGCGCCTGCATACGGAGTTTATATCTCCCACTTGATTCGATATTCCCGGGCTTGTATTTCCTTTCAGAGATCCTATAGAGGATTGCTGCTCACAAGGAAGCTATTAAACCAAGAGTTCCAAATGGTGAAGTTGAAATCATCCCTTCGTAAATTTTACGGACGCCATCACGAGTTGGTTGACCGTTATTGAATAACCGTTTCACAGATGATATCGGATATGTTCCTTATGTCGTAACTACAATACCCCTCCCTTTTCACGAATGTGACCTACCGAATTAGACTATTTACCGGATTTGTAATAACATAAGCAACACGACGGGTGCCACATGTGGAGCAGGATCTGCTTACCCTTCCGGGGCACCTGAGATCATCCCCAGTTTTTGGTGGGGTTCGTGTTGCTTAGTCTTTAGTTTTCTATGTTGTGTCATCTGTACTATTATTTGTTTGTTTATCTTTTTATTTTTGGCCATGGCGTTGTCAGTTTGTTTTCGATCTATGAGTTTGACTGTCCCTCTGGTATCTTTCGTCCCTCTCTTATATAATTTATGTTTGTTTGGAATTTTTTTTTATCGAAATATTTTTATAAACTAATGCCTTGTGTAAAAAAAGCGTCACGCGTTCTACCTATTAAAAGTCCCAAAACGCGTCCTGTTGCTGCCCTATCAAGCACGCCCACCCTTTTTTTTAATTAGCACTCAACCCGAATATACGGTGTAATGTTTGCAAATGAACTTTACTCGAAATACAACCAATCAATATATCGATTGTCAACCTACACGACACCATATTAAAACAAGACACCATAAGGATGCAACCAAGCTAGTTCAAAACGGTCTTGTTAGTTTAAATTAAAAGTTTGAAAAGGTTAATGACAACGGACACATTAAAAATGACGAATAGTTCTATCCACGATGGAAATCTAGCCGAATAGTATAGCTCTATCCCTGTTCCATCCAATTACTGATAACGCCTTCTGAAAAATCATTAAACTTCTGGTTTTCAATTTTCATGCACTTAGACTTGCGTACTTAACATTTCATAACTGGAAATAAAACTGGAAGTTAATTTCCTGACTACGAAAAACCATCCACATTTATGATGTTTGCATTGCAATATAATTAGTAATTTGCACTGTCGTAAATATGTTGTGATTGTATATGTACCAAGAGGAAAAAAATTTAATCAATATAGTTAAAAGATAATCATGTTTGTTCACTTTTTACAACAGGTTACTAGTACCATCTATACAAGATTTTGTATTTTATTCCGAGAACAACATCCGCCTTTAACTTAAAAAAATATTCTACGGCACACTTATCGCTTAAAGTATAAAAAAATCATTTATCTTAGAATTGTTATTTCTTTTCTATATTTGGTTTTTGTTCTTGTCACCACTAATTATGTTTATATTACAATAAAGATTACATCATTGATTTATTGTGATATAAATGTTACTCAACATTACAGTACAAACTTTACCTAGAAAACTTTATCTACAATCTAATTTGATATCAACACATTTTACAGCACAATTGTATTGCAGCATCTTATCACAACACGATAATTTAATTTTCCATTTACTATTGGGGCATTTCATGGTCACGTTGAAGACAACGTTATCCCATTGGCTCACAGGAATATCTATATAAGTTAATAGTGCAATTGTTTTCGGTGCATTTATAATCAACCTGTGAAACGATTAAGGAGTTAATTTGACCAGACAGTTTGAAATATTAAGGTAACTTATAATTGTTGTTTGCATGCAATCCTTTGTTTCAACTATCCTTCTTTTATTTATTTTTTAACAATTACCTTTTGAATCTGAAATCATATTCAATTTTATGTATTGAAAAGGGTTTTCATATTTAACAAATTATTTAGTATTGGGAAAGTCAATACCATGATACGCAAAACGCATATGTATTTAAAATTATAGCTTATCGGTCTTGATATCGTATCAGCAAAATCATCATTGTTTATCAACATCGCATTAATGAAAATTAATAGAGAACTTTCACCTAATGTCAACCAAAAAATCAAAAGGCAGATTGCTCTTCAACATTTTAATGACCTAGAAAATGTAAACAAACACATTTTTTTTCCTTATATGAATGACTAAATTATTATTCTCTGCATAATGTCGATTTATATTAATGTTTCAAGTGGCCCTTCAAATTATTTTTGAAGTAGCCTAGCCAGAAAATGGGTCAATTATTATTATTTATGTTCGTGTTAGTTCGGTTCCATTTTTTTGAGATCGTGAAAAATCCGATGTCACTTATATACCATTGCACCAACTATTTAAAGTGTTCAAATCATTTTGTAATTATATCAAAATTATTGCGTATTGGTACAGCAAAATAACGGATTTCCATACCTTTTCCGGTTCCAGTTCTGTTTTTGTAATCTATTAGGTTGAACAAGTGTGATGGTTTAATGCTTTGTTTTACTAAGACCGTATCGACTAGTCCATCGTGACCTGAATCAATTTATGTATGTCTTTCCGTCCATCAACATTTGCAAGTCGTAATTATAAGTTTAGAATGCCTCATCGAATACCAATATGAATTATTAACAGCATATTTTATCAAAAAGGGGAAGATATTGATAAATTTCGAGATCATACTTTTTAAGCTAGAATTTATACAAAACGAGATATCCAAAAAATTTCTGTAAATTTCAGAAATTATTGCATATAAATACATATTTAATTCGTCTAAACATCAGCCCAACAATGTTAGATCTGTAAATATGCATTAGCAAATTTTTGATCTTCCCTCGCCGGGATTTGAACTCATCCTTATATATTTATATATATATTAAACAGGATTTTTTCTCAATATCGCAAAAAGTAAAAAAAGCATTAGAGTCTAAAATGACAAAATCGCAGTAATAAATGCACGCAATAAATATTAATTTTTGGATATCTCGTTCCTAATGTCCCTTAAAGTAATTTACGATAACTTGTTTTGATATTAAGACTGTTTTTTTCATATTTCGAACACAACAGTATTTTTTTCCCTTTAAAAAAACACACAGAAAGAGACTAAATAAGTCGAATCGAAAGCCAAACCTGAGAGTTTTGTCTTTCGAGAATATACCATTAAAAGTTTAGTACTTGAAAAACGCAAAAAGAGTTTCAAAATTCCAAAGGCATGATAGGAAATTAATCAACTACAAGAAACCGAGAAGAACACGTTTAAGGACAATACAATAATTATATATAATAGTTATAAGAAACCAACATCGGAAATTAAAATGATTATTCCTATACAGATCGCTTACCGATTTTAATCAAGCAATATTGCATGTAAAACAATCAGGCATTCAATTCGAATCCTCAATCAAGCGGTCTAAAATTAATATTGTCACGGGTTGTTTCTCACTCAGTTGACTGGAGACAAAGTAAAGTCATGCAAATAGATTTATTTTTAAATGTTTCTAACAAAACACTTTATTCATATTTTTAAACACAAGAATGTAATAGCATAGTTAATAGCAATCCATATTTGGTATTTTTCACTATTTTCAACTATTTCAGTGTAATTCTTTCAAAGTAAGTGTCACTATAAAGTTCTTTTACTGATTTTAAACAAAAGTAATACTGAAACGATGCAGAAATTATAACAACAGACCTCAAACAGATAGAAAACCTCATCTGAATGATCAGTGCATTCGAGGTAAAACTTGGTGTGAACTAATCCTCTTTTTTAACCAATTTGTATAGAATGAAAATAATGCAGTAAAGTCTTTTTCCAATTCCGTATTTAGAAAACAAGAGGTCGCATCTGTGAATTGACCAATATCATGAGATGTGTTGCAATGGTTCTTTATAGGTTAATGGTTGCACTTTTGTTATCTTATTATCCTTTGTATAAACCACTACAATCACTATATGGTTGTATATGTACTGTATCGTATTTTAATTTTTTTATGTCTTTGGAAGAATTATAAAAAAAACGCATATGCATTTTTCGATTTTCCAATACGTTTTTGATTGTATTTTAAGTAATTGATTTTAATTATAATTACAGATATTAAAGAATGCAGTCGTCTTCGCACTTGGTATTTATTTCGCCAACTGCATGGATTTCCACATCAGACGATAACATTACTTCAACACTTACCAGACTAGATAATGCATCAAAGGTTTCAACTACAGCCACATCTCTCACGGTTATTTCAAGTGAAGTACATGACTTCTATCTAAGGATTATTAATGACAAAATATACGAGAAAACACTGTTACCGTCTTTGATTTATTCAAGCATTTTACTGATTATTGGACTTCCTGGAAACCTCTTAGTTAGTTATATATATCATACGAAGGAGAGGAATATTGCCGGTAATACAAAATCACGCGAGAAGAAATCCTCCGATATTTTTATGATTACGCTAGCTTGGTTAGATATTCTCAACTGTATATTATCGGTCCCTATGGAGATCTATCTTTTGAGATATTTCGTACAATTCGACCATCCCTGGATATGCAAATTATCCCGTTATGTTGCTATGGTGTTAAATGCCGCATCATCATTTGTAATACTAGGGATAGCCGTTGACAGATTTATTGGAATCAAATACAGTCAAAGTAAATACCGATTTACTGCAAATACAGCCATAAAGTTTGTTATCGTCTCAATTTTTCTTGCCACTCTGATCTCGACCCCAGGAATTATCTTATATGGTACGCAAACACTGCCATTAACACTAGGGATACACGGGAAAACTTGCTTGATTGAAGATCATTTCGTGCACACCAAATATCCATTCATCTTATCAATATTCTTGACATCATTACATTTACTCTTCGACACGTTTTTCATTATATTATATAGCATAGTTGGAAAGAAAGTGGTCGGAAATCGAAATCTTTCGAGTATGCGATTGCTTACAGGTAAACGAAAAACTCAGTTTAAATCCAAAAACGTTATCGACATTTCACATATTACATTTGATAATTGCAATTTCACCTCGTTTGATGCCTTGGATAAAAATAAAAATGTACAATTAAACGGATTCAAGCACACTGAACAGTATGTTACTACCTCAGATGATCTCCCTTTCACTAAACAATCAAACATTACAACAAAGAAGTCTAACTTGTCAAAGGATTCCGCAGTACATGGGAAAGTTTATAAAGCAGGAAAAACGACGTTCATGCTATTTGTTGTTACTATTGTTTTCATGTTGACCTTTGCACCCTATTGTGCTATTGCTATACTCCGAAACGTTAGTCCAGATGATTTCTATTCCAGATTGTCAAACATCGAGAAGGCATTTTATCAACTTTTCCTGAGATCCTATTTACTTAGCAGTGCAGCAAATCCTGTCATTTACAGTTTTCTAAGTGACAGGTTTCGGCAACAATGCTTGTTTCTTTTAAAAAGAATTTTTCATCGGCAATAAAGTATCTGGTAATTAAATTGTACAAATTGTTAGTTTTTGTATTATAAATACCATTTGCATATGACAGGTGTTATCTATTTGTTTGATGTGTTTTAGCTTTTGATTTTGCCATTTGTTTAGCAACTTTCCGTTTTGAATTTTCCTCGGAGTTCGGTATTTTTCTTATTTTATTTTTTATATGTAAAAGGTAAACCTATTATAACTTTATCAATATAAATTTAGGTCTTACTGAGAATTGATATAAGTATTAAAACCAAGCAAAATAGCAATTTGCAAAGAATAGTTTACCACGATGCATTCCTTGAATCACTCCTGAATGGCAATGGGCACATACATTCAATATACTGTGACTATTCTTTTATGAAATTGATAAAAACAAATCACAAATCAGAAATCTAATGTGGAATTTACTGACCCCATATATATATCGTATTAGGTCACTAGAACATTATGTAACGAATTTATCTTACCGACTACCTTAACATGTGACATTCAGACTAGTGGCCTATCAAAGAAATCAAGTCTTTAATGCCGTTAGTAACATACTCCCATTGTTAATTAATTTATGATCAAAAAGCTGTTTCGTCGGTTACATGTGAATAAGACAAATGCATTACATGTTCCATTGTATACCTATCAATAGGCAATAATAAAACTTAACGAATGTTTAGAGTATCAACTTAGGACATTTACATTTTCAGGATGGTACTATACCTACACCATTTGCGCGAGATTTATATATATCCAAATTGATTGACATGCCGGGAACTTGTAGTTACAATGAGAGAGCAGCATACTTGCTGACTTAACTGGCTGTTCTATATTCATTCTATTCCATGTCACCGGTAAAAAAACCGTTTTGCACATTTCCATCATTACTTTATCTAAACTTAAGCATTTAATTTAGCGTATAATGATGTTCCTAGTCAGTGAATTGGCACTGACATGATTTATATCACTTTCTTCAATATCTTGATGGAGTGTAAAATGTAATAAAATTTATAAAAAGATTAAACATTTTCGGAATTCTTTTCGGGTGAAAATGAACTAAACGTAAATACTCTAAATAACACTTAACATTCATCTAGTCTCCGAAAGTTCGATTGCATTTGAAAGAATGTACAAACCGTGTTCTTATGCACATTCTTATGTAGATAAAAGAACCAAAGCATTAAGAATTCAGAAATTTTATTAATTTCGAGAAAGTTTCTTGGACCTTTAAAAAAAAATGTGAAAATAACATTTTAAAATTTAATGCGTCCGAAGCTCTTTTCTTGATTTACTGAAAACTGAACGATATTATATGGAATAAATTGAAAATAATAAGTTGACTAACTGGTCATCAGGTTAAACAATAGCAATCAAGAGTCTGGCTGGATGAATGAAATTAAATTAAAGTTGGCATAATTAACACCTTGTTTTCTACATAAAGAAAATTGACAGATTGTATTGAAGCCGACGTCATATCTTATTGAGGCAAAAACTCAATCGGTAGTGATTACTAGTCATATAGTATTTGTTTAGCAAATCAAGTGATATTATGAAAATTACATAAAACAAGATAGACAAGCACGTTATTGTCAGTTTATATTTGTGTCTACAAAGACCTGCAACGGTTAATCATGGCTAATAAAGTTTTTTGGTCCAATTTTCGTAATGACTTCACCAGTTTATTATAGATTCAGGCTATTCTGATATATTTGTTATTGTGACAAAGTGAACATTTTATTACAACCCACCATTTTCTACATTTTGAAAATGCCTGTACCAAGTCAGGAATATGACAGTTGTTGTCCATTCGTTTGATGTGTTTTATCATTTGATTTTGCCATTTGATTAGGGACTTTCCGTTTTGAATTTTCCTCGGAGTTCAGTATTTTGTGATTTTACTTTTTACAATGTATGTACTCGAACTTCATAATTTCTGAATATTTGTGAATACAAACTTCACTTTTTTTGACTTTTACTTGATGTTGTTTCCAATTTTGTTTTCATTTGGCGATATCCGTTTAATATTCACAAATAAATAACCAACATTTACAATGACATGAAATAAACCATTGGATATTGCTTTTCCGTTATGACGTTAATATTGTTACTTTTAGTTTATTCGGCTTTTAACGTTCTGGATGAAGGTAAATCCAGAAAAGCATTTCGGATGCATGAACTTATTTAACGTGTTGTTTTCATTTTTACAGCATTTGATCTATACCTGCTGGTGGACTATCAGTCCCCGAGGGTATCATCAGCTCGATAGTCAGTTCTTCGGTGCTGACATGATTTATAACAAATCTTTCTAAAATTTTCCGTTTATAAATGTTAATAAAGAAACTAAAATTTCAACGCCCTTAAAAAAATTGACCTCAGATGGATTTGGCTCTTTTAGGTATATATTTTTTCATCAAGCTCTTTTTAAATGTTTCGGCTTTCCTATATTTGACTTTGATCGTTCCTGATGAAGGTAAATCCAGAAAAGCGCTTCGGCCGCATGAAATCATTTAACGTGTTTTTTTTCATTTTTAGTACAAATTTGATAGTAAGTTGTCGCGAGTGAGTGAGATTCAAAACCTGACTAAACTCAATGTAAATCCCTTGACCCCAAAATAAAGATACGATTTCCAAACGATTCAGCGCATTTTTATATGTCATTTCAAGCTGCTGCTAATTTTTCAAAATGAATTGGTTTAATTAATACCAATAAACCCATACTATATACAGTTCGACATAACACCTTCGACCTCGATTAAACGATCCAAACGATTGAGTGGTCGAATTGCGATAATTTTTCAAAACTATATATTGTATTTGTTATTAGATATTTTATGTTGCTGCTGTTTTGTTCCTTTTCATTCAATTTATTTTTATCTTTTCGTTTAATTATTCTGTTTGAAATTTAATTTTTATTAAAAAAAAACCGGAAACGTTCAAATGTTTTATAAAGCTATTGGTAAACAAGTAGTAAAGTAGAGCAGGAACTGTAAACCCGTCCGGGTAACCAACCATAATTGGTGGGATAGTCTTGGTCAATTTATAGTTTCTGTGTTTTTCGTTTTTTATTGTCATTTTTCTTAGGTGTCATGATGGTATTCTTTTTATTTTTATTGGACATGACGTTTGAATGCCCTCTTGTATCTCGTCGTTTCTTTTTTCGACCTGAATACGCATGCAATCTTTTATTCTTGACAGTCCCAATTTGCCTTTTAAAGGAAAATATGCGTTGGACGTGAGAATTTATTTAGAATTAAACTGTACTATACACATTAGTTCTATGAAAACAAGGTTGCTTTATACATCACACAGCTTAGTCTTTCTTCGTGACAAAACTCCAATTGAATATTACAAAATTGAAAACTAGTCCACTATCGTTCCGAAAGCTTTCAAACTTTCGTACATGGTTAACAAGGATCTGTATTCTCTTGCTATTATCCTGATATTCTTTTTCCAAATTACAATGTATGTAAACTGATTAATTGATGTTTGCTTAAAATATCATTGTAAAACATCGTAGTAGTAGAATGTTGGAATGGGCTGACTATGACCGAGGAAAGGGGAGTATGATGACCTTTGATTTACTTTTGTTAGCTTTAGGTCCGTATGCTAATAGCTTGTTATATTTGGAACAAGAATATATATAACAAGAAGGTTTTGTAAAAAATGTCGATCAAGACGAAGTGTTGGAGATGTAGTCTTCCTCTAAATGACTACTAGTACCGATTTGAAGAAAGAGTTTTTTAACTATCAAGGAGTGTACCGTTGAATGGACTCCCTCCCGCCTGGATTTGGCTTCTCATTTGCCATTCCGTATACCAAACAGACGCCTTGAGAATGATAAGCATCGACAGAAGATAAATATGTTTGCTATAGACACACATTGTTCATCTCAGCAGTGTTCGCAGATGTGTTTATTGTAGAATTTTTCTGATTTAATACGCCGTTTTCTTTTGAATTTGCAAACTGATAGTTTTGGATCAAGGATCAGTCGTGTGTATCCTCTCAAATTGCAAATATGGCAGGTCCGTCTGTACTTATAGCTTTTCATGTAATATTTATTATCAAAAGACCAAAAAATATGATCACCTGCAATCAAATCATTTAACATTTCAAAATGTTCGATTTACTTTAAAAGTTAGTAGTTTTATTTATGAGTTGATTTTGGATTTTAATTTATAAATCGATTTCATTTACAATTAACTCATCATAAATACAAAGTGAAAGTATCAGTTAATATTTCCACGTGTTAATGCCACGTTGGGATGAAAATAACTCTCAAAGTGTGAAAAGGAAATAATTTTTAAAGTGCACAAAGATATTATTTTATTTGAAAACGACCTCTTAAATTCTATGCGACTATCATACAAATGACAGGTTTATAGCCATCTATAAAACCAGGTTTAATAACCATTTTCTGCATAAGGAAATGCCTGTACCAAGTCAGTGTATGTCAGTTGTTTTCCATTCGTTAAATGCGTTTGAGCTTTTGATTTTGCCAATGATTATGGACTTTACGATTTGAATTTTCCTTGGAGTTCTGTATTATTGTAATTTTATTTTTTTCCTTGGGTTTAAATGTTTATGCAGCAGCATTCTTGCCAAAGGTAAATCCAGAAAAGTGTTATTAACAAATGAAATTTATTAAGTATAAATTTCATCTTCCATTATGCAGCTGACATAAGATTTTTAGTCTACTTTAGTATTTTATATTACCATATTTAAATATTCAGTTCTCACATTTTACGTTGTTTTAAAAGAAGCATTCTGTGCAACCAAGCAATTTTATTCATTTCCCCTATATTTTTTTGTACGACTATTTGATTTGTAAGTACGCTTATACTACTAGAAATAATCACTTTTAATATTTGCTTACGTTTGATTTTCAATCTGCAATAACCTAAAGTGCTAAAACAATAATTACGTTACAGTATCACTCCATCTTTTTGTTCAGATTATTGATTAAAAAAGTTATTCAATGCACTTTTAAAATGGTTATTGAAGAATCATTAGTAGCCATTATCATTAG